TGCCCATTTGGAGTAGGTGACAGGGGAGAGCACGTCTTCTGCAAGTAGACGGTCAATTTCCTTGTTCAAGTGCTTCAACGTTGGCATATGGTACCGGGCGTTTCCTCTTGAATACAGGTACGGCGTCTGGTTTCAGCTTCAGAGTTGCTTTCGCCGTCGTGCATCGTCCGAGACCAGGTTGTTCAAATACATTTGCGAATTTCTTCTTCAGGTTGGCAACTAGGGCGTCTCTGAAGGCAATTTCGCGGTCCACGATGATTGTTTGATGGATTTGATACTTCTCTGACTGCTCTGTAAAGGTCTGGAAGTTGTTTGATCCACGGCATTCCAAAAACGTTGCAGTCGTCTTCGGTGACGAAGCATGTTCCACGTCCAGGGAATAGTCTTCCAGATGAGTTGCTTGACCGTGAAGTCGGTCTCGAAGCATCCACGGAACTTCAGAGAAGATCCGTTTGCTATGTATTCAACAACATCTGGTCGAGCTGCGGGTGGTTGTCCCTTTTGAGAGCGGCTATGACATTTTCAATCTTACGTTTCCGGCGATGGTGGGCGGTCGTTCCACGTTGTGATCTCGACTCCTTCCGGCTAGATTGGTAAGGAAACGCACCTTTCCGATATTTCTGCTGTTTCAGATGCTTGAACTTCTTCTTTCGGAAGTTTCTTCTGTGACGGATGAGGTTGACAGCTGGCTCACCTTCGAGCATACGGGAATCCTCCTTGTATGACTTGATCAGCTGACACTCCGCTGTGAGGTCCTTCAGTGTGACCTTCTCGGATTGGTCCAGCTTCCTCAGCAGGCGTGTACGGTATTCCGCAAAGTCTGGTCCTTGGAATCCAGCGACGTAGAATAGACATTGTATGCCGTCAAAGTCGATGGTATCCAGCTTGGCCTCCGTACACTTCGTCTTCACCAGGAGCTCGTAGTTGTTAAACTCTTGGCCTTCATACCTCATCTTGAAGCATTCGAAACGGCGACGGAATAGTCTTGGCCGATCCGAATTGACGTTCTAGCACTTCCAGGACTTCGCTCCATGACAGTTCCGACGGCTGTTTGGGCGAAATGGCTGCGGTCAGCATTCGATGACAGTCTTCATCCAGGCGCGAAACAAGAAGTCGCGTTCTGTCCTTTTCGTCGAGGTCGTTGCACTCGTTTTCGAACAGGTCCTGATACCGCTTGAACCAGATGTCGAAAGTGCGGTCTCTGTCGGGATCGTAGTTGAACGGCTCGATTCGGCGGTAGAGCGAGTCGAAAATAATGTGCTTGTCCTTGTTGACGAGCGGACTGCCGGCGGCTGACATCTTCTCCATGAGCTTGACGATTGCAGCTCCTTGTTCGTCCATTCGGCGTGCCTGGATGTCGAGCTGTTTTTGGATGGCTTGCAGGAGTGCTGGGAGCGTTTCCATTCTTGAGTCCTTGAGGTTCTTCTGATCGCCACTGTTGTAATCCTTGAAATGTGCAGGACGCGTACGACGAGGATGAATAGGTTTATTCCGAAGGCGATGAGCAATAATAGAATGAACCATACTCGAGGACTGGTCTTATATACTGACCAGTATAGGATGTTGATCAGGGATACCAGTGATCTAGTATCACCCTCACAACAGATGTAGTTCAGCAAATCCAAGCAGCGGAGAAAGCAGTAAAAGAAGCGTTGCGGGCTAGGTCATTCGCGACAGGACCGAACTCTTTCAACCTAGCAGTGCCGCAGCCCATCAAGTCATCAAGCTAGGAAATACACGGCTTGTTCGCGCTCAATATTACTCCTCAACTGTGATGAACTTCATCCCCACCAGCACCAGCAAGCTGACACTTTACATTTCAAACTGAAATAATGAAGCGGATGTAGTATCTCACTTACTAGGTGCGCTCTCTTCGCTAGATGCAGTTTCTTCTTCCATAACAGGTTCAGCAACTTATCCGCGCTTCACCTGGAAACAAGCCACTAAAATGGGACCGGAAAGGAATTTTGCTAAAAAAATGAGGAAAAGCAAAAAAAATAGCAAGGCAGAATGCAATACTCATAAGGTTCGTGATGAAAGAACGAATGGATGCTGAAAACACACAAATAGCTAGAAAAGAAACCGTCTGGGCCCCACAATCGTCTTGATACCACTCTTGTTCGCTGCGTGTGAAAGGCGTCAGGCAGGGGCGACGGCAAACGGATCGCACTTCAGCATCCGGCCGGCGGTCGCGGCGCGGTTTCGGCACTAGGGCATCATGGTCAACTATCGTCTTCTTCTTCTTCCTCAGCGTTTGTCCCGCTCTGTAGCGGGGTCCGCTCGTCTTATTTTGTCACGCCACTTCTCCCGATTGAATGCTTGATCGGGATGGGCGCCAACTATCTTTAAGTCCGCATGCAACGTGTCTAACCAGCGCTGCTTGGGGCGTCCTTTAGGCCGCTTCCCGTGAACTTCGAGCTCAAGACCAATCCTACGGACGGTGTCACACCCCGCGCGAAGAACATGACCATACCATCGAAGGCGAGCTTCGCGCATTTTCTCGGCCACAGGAGCAATACCGAATCTCTTCCTTATGTCGTCATTGCGTATGCGATCCATACGCGTGACACCGGCGGTCCATCGCAACATTTTCATCTCCATGACTCCGAGGCGCGCTTCAACTTCTCTGGTCGTAGGCCAACATTCAGCACCGTAACTGGTCGAACCACGGTCCTATATATCTTCGATTTGAGGCGACCTGGTATCGTCTTGTCACAGAGAACGCCAGTCATAGACCGCCACTTAGACCAGGCAGCACTCACACGCGCGCTCACTTCTGAGTAGAGACTACCGTCAGACGTAATTGTTGATCCGAGGTATTTGAACGCTGTCGTTCGCGTGAGCACACTTCCGCTGACCCTAAGGGATCCAGACTCGTCGTTGTCAGGTACTCGGTTTTCTTGACGTTCAATCTAAGTCCGAAGTTTGCTAACCGTTCAGTCCAAGCTTGCACTTGTTCCTCGAGACCATTCTTATCCTCGCAGGCCAGCATCACATCGTCAGCGTAGAGAAGCGTCCAAGGAGCCGGCTTCTGGAGGTCCCGTGAAATGGCGTTCATGACGACAACGAAGAGTAGCGGGGAAAGCGCTGAGCCCTGGTGCACCCCAACTGTGATGGGGAACCCCATCGAAATGCCTGCTGGACTTCGCACTCGACTCGTCGGGCTGGAGTACAGGATGCGTACCCACTCAATCAGCTCTTCGGGAACGCCGTGCTGCCGTAAGGCATACCATATAACTTCACGTGGGACACGGTCGAATGCCTTCTCCAGATCAAGGAAGGCTAGGTGAACATGCTTCTTCTTCTCACGATGTTTCTCTAGCAAGAGACGAGCGGCATGTATGGCGTCGATGGTGCTACAGCCACTCACGAAGCCACACTGGTTGGTGGAGAGCTGGACGATATCACGAAGACGTTTATCAACAATTCGCTCAAAAATTTTCATGCTGTGCGAGAGCAAGCGAATTGGACGATAATTCGAGCAGTCTGCAGGACTGCCTTTTTTCTTCCAGATCGGTACCGTCGTGCTCTCTTGCCATACTTCAGGCATTTTCTTCTCTGCAACGACCTGATTGAAAAACGTTGTCAACCATTCGGCAGCATGCCAGCAGTGTGACTTCCATACTTCGACCGCCACGTCGTCAGGGCCCGTTGCCTTGCCTGGCTTCATCTTCTTGAGAGCCGCCTCCGTTTCCTCCACGCTTATCTTTCGAACGGGACCGTATGTTGGTAAGGCGCGAGGGATGGCCGGGTGTTCATATTCCACTGTGGAAATTTCTCTAAAGTAGTCGCGCCATCGCCTCAGCACCTTTGTCAGTCCATCAGGAGGCGACCATTCTCGTCATTGATGCCAAAGAACTTCTCCACGTCTTCGGCCTGGCGGTGACGAGCTTTAGCAAGTCGGTAAATGTGCCGCTCGCCATCTCGTGTTTCCAGCTTCTTGCTGATTTCATCGAAGTGGGAAGCTTTTGCGGCACCCACAGCCTTCTTTGCCGCTTTTTTCGCTTCCTGGTATTTTTGCCAGTTGCCTGCTGACTTGTCTTCAAGGAACAAGTGGTAGCGCTTCTTCTTCTCGTGAACCTTGTCCCTGACGTTATCTGTCCACAACCATGCCTGCTTTTCAATTCTACGCCTTCCAGGTTTCGTTGTTCCAAGTTCAGAGCGAGCGGCTTGGACAATTGCTTTGGCAGCATTCTTCCACGTTGCGTCGACAGTTGTGACAGTTGGTAATTGAATGCGAGAGA